TTAAATGAAATAGAATTTATCTTATATTATTGTAATGAAAATGATTAATTACAATTTGAAACATAATTTCATCTATTTGGATAACCATATCTCATTATTAGTTATAGTTACAGTCACACGAGAATTTGAATATGTTTTATTACATAAAGAAAAATATATTATAGATTGTCACAAAAATGGGGTCATTTTTTTTTTGTCTATGAAGTGTTGATTTGATGGTTGCTATCAAACGAGATAACAAATGTCGGTTGACATTAGATAATGATATTATGAATAGAAAAACATTCAGAGGGCATCGAACGAACATTGACCCATTCCTAATACATTTAGAGATATTTCAAGCAATTTTAACAGAAAATTTGATTTTTCATATACAAAAAAACACTAAAATTGACTTCAGAGATTGACGTATAGAAAAGAACGTTTTTTCTTCTTCAACGATAAATATGTCAATGAAATTAACATATTATACAAATATTATTAACCTATTTCATCAGTTTCATTGAAAAATAAGGATGTGAAAATAAAACATCTAACTATCATGTGATAAATTTATAGGATAGACATTTGCACTATCCGACGCTCATAGACTATGACGGACAGAATCTATGAGGGGGTCAAAGACTGTATATCAATAACATCTTACTATAATAAAGGAAGTACTTCCTTATTGCATTTCTGGCGAAGAATGCAGAAGAAATGTATCCCAAAATAGATAAAATAAAACAATTTTTCTGCGATTAACAACACTAACTACATCATGTTTCACATTTTTATGCTGCAGGGATTATCCTAATAGCTTTTTTATAGGCAAAACTATAGAAAGAGTAAGAAATAGTATTTATTACTGTTTATTCATTTGTATGGACTGTAGATTTTCGACATGGAATAAATATCAATCATTACATAAAATATGAACTTTTGTGTTTGTTACTATTCTAATAAAATATATTTATTTTTAAGTTATGAAAATTGTTGTAATCAATGTAAAAACTCGATTATTAACATATAATTATTTTTAAATAAAAAATTTTTCATTTTAAATATGAAAACATTGAATATATCGTTTAATAGTAGTTGAAATTGAAACGCTAAATTTTTCACTTATTGAACGTGCTGATCATAAACAACGATAAGAAATTTAAAATCACAAAACAAAAAATAGTTAATAAAGAAAACTAATCTATTACAAACAAAATTATAGCAACATTGTTTTTTGTTTTTCTGTCAGTAGTTGCATACTTATTAAGACATTTGTTATTTTTTTACTCATGACATATTTCTTTAGTAGATGACTTTACAAATATTATTTCATTAGTTTACATAGAAATTTTAATGTTATATGCAAAAAAAAAAACAAAAAGAAAGTTAGTTATTAAAAAAAATATATAAAGATTAATCTTTATATTCTCATTAACAACAAAAATCGCTTTATAAATTGACAACGATAATACTTATGATGGTTATCGATAGGCGCATAACTTTAATGGTTTCTTTTCTTAGTATAATATTAACCAAAACAACGATCTCGATCGGATATCACATCTGTCGAGTGTATGATAGATAGATGCTTGTAGATACTACGACAAGAAGAAAAAAAAAATGTCGAAGTTCTATTTCTATCATATCTTTTTTAGCAAAACAACAGGGTGCAGATGTATATGGGAGTAGAAAGCCACTGTTTGACTTATTTTTAGTGTCTTCAGTAAGGCTAATTTGACGCCTACTTCTATACTCACTTGGCAAATAACAGAAGAGAACGAAAAAAAAAAAGAAGTATTTCCATGCATAGAGAAAGGAAAACTATAGAATAGTGCATCTCTCTGTAAATCTCTCATTATCAAACGCTGTTGTTCTGTTGTTTTTTCTTCATATCATCATTTCTTTACGTATTGAAACGATGTATTCAATGCATGGTGGAGGATATCAATATCCACAAGGAACGACAACATATTCTATTCCTTATGACAGTAATCGAACAGCTCAAAATAATCCTTTATCACAATATTCTTATGTTGAACAACATTCAACAAATTCTTCACCATATACGAATACTCGAACAATAAATATTTCTCATTCAGTACCAACACGTCGTGTTAATCCTGCATTAACAATAAATCCAAATCAACCATCACGATCACAATATACTAATTATGGAAAACCAACATATACTTATAAAAAAAATGTAAGTAGTGAAATAGATGATTCACCAATAATTGATCCACGTGCTTTTCATTATTTAAATTTAAATGAACAAAAATCAAAAAAAAAAACAACATCATCAGATGATATTGAAAGTGGTATTGATACACGACCTATAATTAATCTTGATGCAGTTGCACAATTAGAACGACGACGACAGAAACTCATAGAAAAGAACAATCGATTACGTGGTGATGATGGATCCAAGGAAGGCATTGATGATAGGTCTATTATAGATTCCAATGCCTTTCGTTATATTGAAGCGAAGACAAATAAGATTGAAAAACAAGGTCAAGGTATTACTAGTGGTATTGATGATAGACCCATTGTAAATCCAGATGCATTCAAGTAACTATCTTCTTTCTGTTTTTTTTTTTCTTATATTTTCATAAAATATAAATTCTATTTGATTTATTTAAGATATTTAAATGCTAAACGTCGAGAAAAATCAGCAAAACAATTAGATGAACCATCGATTGATACTCGTTCAATAATAGATCCAGATGCATTTAAATATATTGAAAAACGTAATATACCAACAGCAAGAACTATTGAAAGTGGTATTGATAGTGAACCAATTGTTGATCCAAATGCTTTTCGTTATTTGGAAAAAAATCAACTACCACAACGTCGTGATGTACAATCAGGTGTTGATACAACATCAATAGTTAATCCAGATGCATTTAAATATATTGAAAAACATACACCAACAAAATCAGAACCAATAGAACCATCAATTGATTATCGTCCAATAGTTAATCCAGCTGCATTTAAATATATTGAAAAACGTACAATAACAAAATCTGAACCAATAGAACCATCAATTGATGATCGTCCAATTGTTAATCCAGATGCATTTAAATGGATTGAACGAAAAGAAACAAAACGTCGTGTTGATAATGAACCAGAAATTGATGAACGTTCATATGTTAATCCACAAGCATTTCGTTATATTGATCGACATGTAGGAAAAAGAAATGATATACCTGTACCTGAAATTGATACACGTAGTTTAATACTTGAAAGAAATCCAAATGCATTTATTCATCTTGAACGTAAATATACAACTGGAAAAAATGATATTGAAAGTGGTATTGATCAACGTTCTTATGTTGATCTAGATGCATTTAAATATATTGAAGGTCAAAATAAAAATTCAAAAAATAAAACAATACATTCATTTATTGATCCATCAATTGATACAAGATCATATGTTAATACAGAATCATTTCGTCATCTTGAAGGTAAACAAGGAAAAACAACATATGATAATTATAATGTTCATGAAGGTATTGATGAACGACCTTTTATACCATTAACTGCTTTTCGTCATCTTGAATATACAGATGAACAAAATTATCCTTATGATATTGATTATTTAACATATGGACAAACAGATGTTTGAAGAGTTTTTCTATAGAATAGAATTGTTATCCCGTTATACTTTTTTTTTTTTTGTAGATTTATTTATCATATTATAATAAATTTATTTGAAATGTAAGGCAGTAAAGAAAACAAATAAATGAAAAATAAAACTGAATTATTATTTAATTTAATTGAACAATATTTAAAAAAAAGATAAAACTTATTGCAAAAAGATGTATTATATCGAAATCAGTAATAAATACTTGCATATTTCTATTCTGTAATGATTTATCAACAAGGATGTCGGTTTTTTTTTGTTTTCTTTAGAAATTATCATCGAATGAAGAATATGAACATAGAATAATATCAGAATAAATATAAATAAAATTGTATGATCTAAAGAATGATTTCCTACGATCTACGAATAGCATTTAAAAATAAATATCAAAATATATAGTTTTCAGGAATACAATATATATGAGCAATTTTATTCATTAACAACGTTATTTAACAAAATAGAAATGTGTTTAGGATAAGACTTGTAAATTTCTTTTAGATTATTTTTATTCAAAAGATATATGTTGGGTCACTGTTGACCTCTTTGACAAGCTGAACCCTTGTTAACCTTTGTTCTGTCGAGTTATTATAATAAACCTAGCGCTAACGACCTGACACAAAAAAAAAACACGGGGAATGGTTTTAACTATACTTGTTTCTATCTACAACTACTATGAGTCAAAATAGTATTTTTGGAAAGTGAATATTGTAGAGAAACCTACAGACTACAAGATCTTTATGCTAATTATTTCCTGAACATGATTAGGTTAGTTAAAAAAATTGAGTTTATTCATTTTCAACGACGTAAGTAAGTGAGAACCTGTTTTTACAAATCAAATAAAAGCTTCAAAAATTATTTCTAAATAATATAAATCTCTACTGAAGATCTTCAGATGATAGTAAAATCAAAAGTAGATCTCTGAAAAAAAAAAGATTTTTGAAAGACAATTTTTTAGGACTTTGATATTACTGAAAATTTCATCGTAGATATTACTTGTAGTATGAAGTTTATTCTACGTAAATATTTTTACATACATATATGAACAAGAAAATTTATTTAAAAAAGAATAATCCCTACAACGAATTAACGTTCAATTTGACTATGGTCATGTTCTATTTTTACTGGTTTTGCTCGCTAGTCATGATTTTCAAGCGAACTCTATTAATTGTTTCAATTATTTTGGCTAGTTGATGTAGATATAGATCTTAAGAACTCTATGCCAGGCCAACTATCAGCCCAAAGCTACTCTTGCTTGTTTGGTAGATATTGGACTAATGAATTATCGGTTAGGCAGCATTGTATACCGCAAGATAGATGAAAATCAAAGTTATTCTTGTTTTTTTTTCAATGAGACAAGTTTTCCTTAAAATTAGTTTCAAATAAGTTTATTGAAATTAATTTTAACAATATTTTTTAATATACAAAAGCTTCAAAAACTTCTTTTTTTTTTAGAATAAATATAAACAGAAAGATGAATTTGAAAATTTCAATATGAATATCAACTGTTGTTTTTGATGAGTAGCAAAAACCTAGGAATTGATTCACTAATGATAAGTCATCAGTGGACAGTTGTTGACATCTTTTTTTTTGTTAATTAACAACATCCTATCGGGAACTATTAGTAATACCATTTGTTATAGTTGTGCAGGAGGAAAAAAAAAACGAGAGTGGAAAATCTCAAAGGTTTGTACAAAAACATAGAATAATTCGTAGCCTGTTGATTCGAAGTAAAATGTACTCTGATTTACACACGATTTTTATTGAATAAAATTAAGAAATATGTTTTTGTCTAATAATCATAGAAACATTATACATGAATTCAAAATTGAAATGCTTCGTATACTGAGCTGAATTCAGATACCATAACATTTATATATTAAATTTATTATTACTTTATGAAGCATTTCTTTGCTTACTTAACTTCTTGTTTTTCTTTTGTAGAATGAATAACCTTCGAAGAAATTTATATGTCTAATAGCTTAGCTTATAGTTTGCCTGTTCTAAAGAAAATCATCTAACTTCGTCTACGATTAAGTCTTGTCAGTAAATGCCTCGATTTCTTCAATAACAGATGGTTAATGGGTGACATAAAAACAATAAATATTACTATCATATTGTATTGTTGAGATATGCTACAAAAAAATCTTTTTTTTTTTCTCTTGTCTTTGCCTTGTTACATATTCTAATACTGTTCTATAATTTGTTCGTCAAAAGCTAAATATCAATATTCATATATTATGCTTTTGTTATTGATATTTCTCATACTGAGAATAATAAACCTTGATGCTATACGAGTATGTTTAAACAATTTTATTTTATTTTATGATATAATTTTTGTTTTGTTGATTATTAAATTAAGTTATGTCCTGTTTTGACATTACCTCAACATGGATTTTTCTTTTCGGGACATTGTGAACGAGAATCAGGTTCATTATGTGGTCTTGGATGTTTAACTGGTTATCGTCTTGTTGATGGAGATAGTTTTCGTGAATGTCAATCAGATGGAACTTGGACAGGACAACAACTAAAATGTGAAGGTACACTATTTTTATTGACTTGGGTTGATTTTTTTTTTCTATGTTTGATATAGAAATTCGTTGTCCTCCATTAAAAATTAACACTCAAGTGATTCAAGAATGTTTACCAAAACAGAACACTAGTGACTTTAAATTTGGTACAACATGTCGAGCAAAATGTAGCAAAATCGGTTATCAGTTAGTTGGACCACATACACGTGAATGTTTAATTTTAGGCATATGGTCAGGTTATGATCAATTTTGTATTGGTAAGAAAATAAGTAGACAGATGAAAAAAGAAAAACAACAAGATTTGATTTATTTTAGTTAGTCATGAAACAACAATGCGTGCAATTACAAAAACAGGTTCAACTCAATTATTACCAATAACATCAATAAAAAGCATTCAAAAATATCATGGTAACCATACTTGATTTAATTTTATCTTTTATTTTAGTTTTTCTTATTTTAATTCTACAAGATTATTCAAATTTTGCTTTGAATATTAATAAAAATGATACGGGTATTGTCTTATCATTTATTGAACCATTACAATTTACTATCATATTTTGGTTTTATCTTGAAAATGGTGATAATGTTTCTCTTATTTCATTAAAAGAAAAAAATGATAAAAAGTTTTTCGAAATTACTGTTCGACAAAATAGGTAAATTAATGAGATATTTTTATTAATATTAATTTTCTATTTGAACAGACTTGTTTATTATCATGCATCACGAAATCAAACTCAACCAACATTAATAAAAATTCCTTTATCAAAATGGAATCATTTTGCATGGATATATTCAAATAAAATTCAACATTCATATTTATATATTGATGGTACACGTCAACAATCATTTGATTTTAAAATACTGAACTTTAATTTTAAAAGCAAGTAAGCCTAAATGAAAGATATGTACAAATAATTATTTGTGTTTTTTTTTTTTTAAATTTAATTAGATATTTCATCATTGATTTTATTTAATCAAACATTTCATGGTCGCATAACAAGATTAGAAATTTGGAATGAAATGTTATCTGAACAAAAAGTATTGATTAGTTATCGTGATTGTCGAAAACAAAATGGAGATATTTTCTCCTGGTCAAAAGTATCAAATCAAACATGGATCGATACTAATAAATTAAAAAGTTCATCATTCTGTTCTGGTAAGGTTCTTTTTGTGAAACACGATTTATAAAGAATGTTAAAGTATAGGAATAGAAATATACCCCTTCTCCACACCCACACCCGCAGTATGTACGCTCAATTTTCAGTGCCACTGTATATCAATGACGCACAAAATAATCTTCCTGTGATTAGTAAGAATAATATTTCACGTTTTTTATATTCCATACGACTTGTACTAAAAGTGTCTTTTCTTTTTCATTTGATTAATCAATTAACAAAAACTATTTATTAATTATAGGATGTTCGGAACCTGCATCAATTCATGGTGGAGTATATCATGTATCTGATTACGAAGTTGGTTCATTTGTAGAATATAAATGTAATTATGCTTATGAAATGATTGGTGCTAATCGTATTTATTGTATGGTACCATCAGAATGGTATCCATTACCACCGATTTGTAAATGTAAGTCATAGCTTTATTTATTATTCAAATAGAAAAAAAAAACATTTTATAATTTTTAAAAAGATAATCCATGTACATCAGATTGTGAACTATGTGACAAAAATACAGGTGTTTGTTTAAGACAAAAGATTAAAATCAATCTTCAAAGTTGTGATCCTCCATGTGATGAAGATGAAGAATGTATTGATGGAGAATGTGCTTGGTCGAATATAGGTGATAAATGGACTTCGACAACAAATGATAATATATGTAATCCACCATGTTCATTCGGAACACGATGTGTCAATAGACGATGTGAACCTAATATAACATCTTATTGTCCAATACCATGTCGATCTGGTCAACTATGTATTGATGGTCGATGTGGCTGTTCTAAAGGTTAATTAATTAGTAATCATTAACAAAATTGAATGATTTATTTCTAATGATTAGGTATATGTGAAAATGGTCGTGTATGTTATGAAATTTGTGAAATAGGTGAACGTTGTTATAATTGGTCATGTAGTTGTGGTTTTCAAGGTAAATGTGGTAAAGGTGAAATATGTCAATCAGATATTTGTATGTGTGGTATACAACGTGGTGGTTGTCGTCCACATGAACATTGTATTCAGGGAAAATGTGTTTGCAAGACAAATTCATGTGATCAATGTAATAATACATGTAAATCAAATGAAATTTGTTTAGATGGAAAATGTATTTGTAAAGAACAATGTGAAAAAAGTAAAAAAAAAAAGTATTAATAAAGAAATATTCTAGTTTTTCTTTTTTGTTTATATCATAGCATTTTGTCCATTTCCATGTTTGAATGGAGGACAATGCACGGGTTTTTATCAATGTACTTGTCGAGAAGGTTGGCAAGGCCATCGATGTGAACAACGTCAAAGAAAAAATATAACTATTTCCTAGATTTATAATGTATTTTTATCTTTTATGATAAATAAAATGACTAATTACTTAATTATAAATGACTTAGTTAATTACGGACAAATAAATACTATACATTGATTATTACAGTTACTTAAGATATATCACAAGTAAGGCCTATGGCATGATAATATGGGTGTGGGTATGGGTTTGATCTTCTGATCTCTTACTTCTACACCCTAATAGAAGCTGTGTAGAACTAGCATTATTGTCCTAAATGAAAAATCACACTAGTGATGAAAAGCATCTAATCCTGATATCTTATGAAAGAACATCTTCAAGTGTCTGGTCGTTTTTGAATCGAGACTATATTTAAGTGAGAGGCGATTGGGAATAATGTAAAAATCTAAGAGAGTTCGATTTTCTGAGTGTTTGTGGTTGAGTTATTTAATTTGTAACTGCATTTTTTAACATAGAGTTATGAACCTCATTCAATCAGCTTGAAACTTTGCACAAATGAATTTCTCAATGACTGTTGCTCATTATGAAAATTCTACTCATTAAAGCGTTTCCTATCTTGAGACATGAGTATAAGAAGAATGATTACTTTTTTTATCAGAAGATTTTTCAATATTCATATCTCGCAGGAGAAGATTCAAAAATCAGTGAAACTTTTGCAATTGACTAGTCATCGAGAATTTTGTTTGTGTAAAGTTTCACGTCAAAATTCAAAATTTTATTTTTATGTCGGTCTCATAGAAACCACGACTTTCATCGTCTGATGCATTCTATACCAAGATTTCATAGATGAAATCTTGACGTAGAATGCATTACATAAAAATACTTTATTGGCTATTAAGGTCATTATCTGAATTTCAACTAGAACCTTAGCCTTATTGAAAAAACATGAAAAATACGTTATTGTTAAACAACGTATTCCACCATCTTAATGTGTTTACCGGAATGAGTTCGTATTCGGTGTGGGTGTGGGATGGATGTTTGGGTGTGGGCGCTGATTTGCAGGGGTTTTGGTATGAGTATATCTCTGGGATCCTCTTCCACATCCAGGCCGGCTCCTACGCCTGCACACACACCTATATTCACACCCACACCCGAACCTGAGTACCATTTCATGTTGACGATAATTTTGCGTGCGACCATTTGAGAATTAGCATTTTATGCACCAAATTAGACGTGAAAACATGGTTTCTCGTAACTTGACAACAGGTTCTATTGTGTAGTAATGTGGAATTCTGTCCTCGTAAACAATAGCACTGACAGGCACAACAAGATCGTTCACATCTAGAGTAAAACGTTCTCCATTTTCTCATGTACAGTGCTTTACTTTCAGCATTCGTCTTGATTAAGAAATATTCACATAAACTGTTTTGCGTATGCGGAAAAATACAACATTTGAGTTGTATGACTGAATTGGTATGAATCTTGTAACTTTGATGTTGGCATGAGAAATCTATTTGAAACGAAAAGCGGACTGTTTTCTGGAGAATAAAATTCTCTATCGAGTGATTCACTCTACGATGTGAATTTTTGTCTTTTGTTTGTAATCAAGCGTCTTGTGATCTTTACCTTGAATGTTTTACTGTTGCTATGTGCAGCCCATCCCAATAGTTACACAATCTCATTCCCTCTGAGGAGATAGAAATACCTTTTTATGGTTCTGCTTTGTTGGTTTAGTGACATTATTAAGTGTAAACAGATTGTTGGAAGAAATGGTATTTTAATGAGTAAGAAAAATTTTCTTGTGGCTTACGTTCATCGCTTTATTGGCAAAAGTGATGTTTGAATATGCACACGATTTTGCTGATATAATAACACCGTCGAATGTGAAAGATTATCGTAAATGTGGGATTTTTTACGTTGTTAAGCAATATTTCATCATTAAGCGAATGTACAGGGTGTTACATAACCTTTTTCTCCCCCCTACACGACCGAAAGGACAGATAATATCAAAAAGTATTTACACCAAATTAAAGCCCGTCAAAAACTGCATCTAGGAGTGCAATTAGATTAAATATTGCTTTAGCGATTATTAAAATATCTTGTGCAACATATTAAAATGTCATGAATTACACAATATAGAATCGATCAAAGAACCATCATACCGTTCATTTACTTAAATTGTAGGCTCTAGAATTTTCAATTTATTAGAAATATAAATTTTTCACGAATAAATGTTTATGACAAGGTTTCAGAAATTTGTATGACCTCCTCCAGCAGCTTCAAGAGCATGAAATCTTTTTCTCATTGAGCACAGTAAATCAATAAAAAGATCCGTGTCATCTTCAATATCTCTAAGTGTCTTCCCAATGTTAGTTTTGAGAACATCATAACTGTATCTGTTTTGACGATCTTCACTTGCCATTAAATCTTCAACTTTATCTTTGATAATGGCACCGACGTCCTCTGCAGAATTCATGTCAGGACTATTACCAGACCAAATTGAATTGCCTCAAAACTGCACGCCCTCATCCTCCAAAAGCTGTTGTGTTGCATAGGCTTTCATGCAGGGTGCCTTATCGTGAAGGAATATGACTTCATCTGTGTCAAGAACATTGTTTGGGTCTCGAAGAAATGGAATCACATGTTGTTGAAGAATAATTTCACGAAAATAGGCTCCATCCCAAGACTGCCCCTGTTCCTTTAAGACCCAAAGAAGTTTCTTTATGGTGAAAATCACAAATATTCCGATACACCTTGCATTCGGAACCATTTCACGGTACTTTTCATCAGTGCTAATGTCTTCGATATTTTTTGCCCAAATCCTATCATTCTGGTGGTTCGGTTTTCTGACAACGTAAATATAAAACTCATCCGAAGGCGCGATATGCAGAAAATCCTCTTCAGTCCAATCAGCAACAAACTTTGCGAGCCATTTCCGATCTTCAATATGCGTATTTGTCTTCAATGGCTTTGCAATCACATGGAAAGGTTTTAATCCTTGTCGATAGCGTTCACGATAAACAGTCACATGACTTACGCGCTGTCCTGTTTTTTCCAAAAGTTCTCTTGTAACTTTTCGAGAGCTGCGGCCCCTGATGCCACTTGCAGAAGTGATGATGTCTTTGCTATCCTGGGAGAGTATTTCAGGTCGACCACTTCCAAATTGTGTATAACATTCTTCAGTTGTTTTATTCCAATGTTGTTGTACCCAGCGTTCGCTACAGCGTAGTTTTTCGGAAATCCATCAGCGAGTGATAAACGAGTCTCCTGGTATTGCAATCATTTCATCGCGTATCTCACGATATGTGATACAACGAATTCTATCCAAAAAACGTTGCTTTTCTGAGTCGTTAAGAACACCAGCCATTTTAATTCGCTAATTTGATGTGTTACAGGCTTGTCTCAGTTAAATGAGTATTCAATTCAACTTCTGATGCGACCAAAACAGTTAGTTGCGCGAGCAACAGTACACAGAAAACGAAAGAAATAATAAAATTTGAAACAGTGCCAATTTTATATTCATTCTCCTCTTATCTCTCCCTGCATATATCGCATAGTTTTCTTCTCTGTTTTTTCTCTCAAATATTAATCGTGAATAGTGAATGCTTGTTGCTTGAGAATAAACACGTTATTCAACGCGTGCACGTGCTCTGTTACATTCAAACATTCGTTGAAAACGAGACGAAATAGTTCTTTGATCGATTCTATATTGTGTAATTCATGACATTTTAATATGTTGCACAAGATATTTTAATAATCGCTAAAGCAATATTTAATCTAATTGCACTCCTAGATGCAGTTTTTGACGGGCTTTAATTTGGTATAAATACATTTTGATATTATCTGTCCTTTAGGTCGTGTAGGGGGGGGGAGAAAAAGGTTATGTAACACCCTGTATAATATTTCTTGTGAATATTGGTCTGATGAACATGAGATTAAAGATTATTCAGGCTATGGTAGGAATACTTGTTGTTTCAGCACCATTTATTTTCAATTTCTTAGTCTGGACTACTGATCCATTACAGCGTTTAATGATTGGTTTTAGTTTTGTACCATATTTTCAAGTGCGATTACCCGTCGGAGATGAACCCAGGTCGAATTCCCCCTGTCGAATCCGATAGAAATTCGCCGGAATTTGTCGGAATCCTAACCACAGGATTCCGACAAGTGGTTCTGGATGTCGGAAAGTGTCGGAGTGTCGGAGTTTCAGGGATTTCGCAGGATCCTGATTATTCCGACATCCGGAACCTCCTGTCGGAATCCTGTGGCTAGGACGCCGACAACTTCCGACGAGTTCCCGTCGGATCCGTTAAAATCCGGTAATTTTTCCGATATAATCCGATATAATCCGACGTAATCCGACAGTCGGATCGAATCACCTGGGAAAGCACATCAGTATTGAATATGATTGTTCAGATTTGAGATAGTTATGATTGTATTGCAGAATGGAATATATCTTCTATTGTTGTTATAATGGACACGAAACCTTTAATTAGTTTAATTAAAGGTCTACATGGTTCATCTGAAGAAATAAATAACAATCCACTTATTCGGCTTCTTGCAAGTGGAAATCAAAATACTATGGGACAAATTATCACCTTAATTTCACAAGAACTCAATAAAATGAATATTCAAAATATTTACAATACACTTTCCAGTAAATATTAGTTATGAATTAGTGAAACACAATCTAAAAGAAGTGTTAAACCCAAGTAAGCAAAAAATTATGCATGACGGCCGACATGACTAGTCCGAAATGTCCGCAATACCCGTCAGGTCTAGTCTGAAACGTCTTGCACACCCGACATGACTAGTTACCTTTAGGAAAAATGTCCTTCGAACACGTCTGGACTAGTCTAGAATGTCTTTCAACCCCGTCATGCCTGGTCCGTTTTGTCCGTTGAACCCGTCCAAACTAGTCCGAAGCTTAAAAAAGAAGATGAACGGTGAATTCGAACATCCAACCCGACAGTATTCGAAACCTGACGATCATCCTGACGGGAGACTAGGACACTGGAATGAACTGACGCCCATTTACATTCTAAAATACAAAATTGATTCCTTTCCATCCCGTAAACAATCAGAAACCAGTCGATGTCACACGTCTTTAACTAGTCTGGAACATCTTCGATAGTAGTTAAGACTATACCGACGCGTCGTCTTCACTCGCCACGACTAGTCCTTTTCTAAAGAGTGTCATTCATCCTGGTCCAGACTAGTCTGAAAGACTCTAATCAAGTCACTTTCTTTAGACTAAATTATCCTATAAACTCGTTTAAACTGATGAATAATGGAAAGAAAAGAAGTAGTATGTAAATAGAAAAAATTTTCAACATCTATATCATTTGTTAAAAATGATCGATGGATAATCATATGCATTTAGAATCTGGACTAGATAACAGAATAGCAACCGTTTTATTGCCTATAGTGTACTCAGATTTTCGTAAATTGATAACTAAGCATGATCTATTGTATTATGATTATGGAGATTAATAACATGCATTGTTATTTTGTATTAAAATTATGTCGATTGTCACTAGTATTATTAGTTTTTTTCTCTTTCTAGAACGACAATCAGAAAGTCTGTCATAGCCAATAGTGAAATCAAAGATAGATAGTATACTTTGTGCATTCCTATCTGTCTTGATATATCTTATTATATTTTGTATTTTCATATATTGAAAATATATAAGAGCATATCAAAACGTTAAAAAGTGGAAGTAACTATAAAGAATAATAGTTATCAAGCAACAAGGAGTGCTAACTTATATTTTTTAAAATTATAAGATGTACCAAATTTAAAAAAAGAGCTAAAAAATAATTGAAATCTTTTTGTACCATAATTGCTGCTTTAAATATCAGTTCTAATAAATTTTTAAATTTAAAAGTAGATTTAATTGAAACAAAATTAATTTAATACTTAGTTGAAGACACGATGATTTAAATTTTCAGGTAAACTAAATCATGATATGAAAAATCGAGTTTCTTTTCAATATAAATTGTTTTTTATTTTTGCATTTAAAATTAATTTTTTTAACATAACTAATTATTCCTACTTAATAGTAATAAAAAATATTTATCCAAAAAATATAAATTTTTTTGATTTTGTTTTATCTAGTGTTGTTTAATTAATGACCTATTTTGTAAACGATAATTTTTTATTTAAATGCGAACATCAAAAACGTGGAATAAAATTATATTAAATAGCATCTTAGAATGATTATGTATGTGTAGAGTTGATCTACTGATCATATGACTCAATGGTCTAAACGATGGGTAAGTAACACATTGTATGCATGTTCGAATCTGACTTTCATCTTTACACATTTTCATTTAGACTAGTCCGAACTCGTCCACTACACAAGACTACAACTTGTTCTATGTGGTGTCGCTGTTACCCGTCCTGAGTAATCTTTTTCTCAAAAAGTCCTCCTACAGGACTAGTCCACCTATTAGTGATTCTTACTAGTCCTAGACGGGTCTTTTTAGTGAAACAGACTAGACATGTCAGAGCCAATGACGCCCATCAGTAACATAGTCTGGACGGGTATTATGGACGACAACTTTTCCAGACTAGTCATGGTATAGTCCGATTTGAGAAAAAGACTATACAGGACGTCCCGTCAGGACTAGATATGAGACTAGTCTTTTTACCCGTCCTTTGCTCGCCTGGGAGTGTATAGGGTAGAAAGTTTGAACGCATCCTCCTTCTTCTCCACACACATGTGACAGACACCCTGACAAACGTCAGCAGAGTTTATTGAGTCCTAACTGTCACAGATCATAGGAGATGGTTTTGGTATACAATCAACGATCGTATATCAAAAAAGTATCATTATGATGTATAGGAATGCAACTCTGACAGATGTCCGCCGGTATATCCTTACGTACAGTAACTGACTAAAAGTTTGATTGGTGCATCCTAATAGTCTATGAGTAACCTTCTTTGGAGATCTCTCGAATACTACATAAAGGTTAATTAAGAATTTTTTCTGAAAATATATAGAATAAAATAATCTCGCTGTGACTAACAACAGTAGGTAAACCGTGTTTTACCTCTTAATCTTACAGTTATTGTACTAACAATTTGTATTTTAAGGAATCTTTACTTTACAGATGATGTATTAGCTACAAATATTTCTGTGACACCCTTAGAAAGTCCAACTTTTTCAAAAGTAAGCTTTAATTTTTTTTTCATGGCTAGTAGTTTTTCGTTCGTTGAATTCGTCTCCGTAGGAGTATTTATTACGGAATAGATCAACTCTAAATGAATACAACAATTTTTTGAATATTCATGCAAAGATACGAGATCATCTAATTACATATATGACCAATTTTGCAATTCTTGGTACGAATAGTATCAAACTACAAGCATCTGCATTAGTTCAATGGACTCAATCGACTAATCAATTAACACGAACAGCTTCAGTATATATTTAAAAAAGAAACATTTTGAAATTTTAAACAAACAAACTATTTAGATCATTGCATTTGAACGATGTCATCAATTGGCTAAACATTTGTATTTGTTAGTACTTCATATTTCATATGAAGACGTTTATGAAGCAGTGACTTTGATTGCTCAATGTATTAGAAATGTCAAGACTGTAAGATTTTTTTTTGTATGGAAAAATAAATTATAGAAAATTTCTAATGATAAACTAGAGTGTTAATGGACCATTACAAAAACGAACAAATATTCTTGACTTAGATTGGTTTCGTTCAATTGATATTTTCTACGATACTGCTCTTGAACTTGAATGGACAGAATCGAGTCTGAGCATGAGTTTTTTTTTAATACGAATACGTATTGTCGTTTCATTTAGGTTTATTTAATGATGGGAGTTATATTCCATGGACTATAAATCAAAATACTTGTAATATTTTTTATCAAAAACAAATAGCACATAAAATTAATGTTCAAATGATTGAAACCATTGAATTATTGACAACCACCATGAATATTCATTTAAATACAGGTCAGAATATGACTATCAATACTTCATCTGCTTTTATGATACTAAAACGAGCATCATTTGAATCTTTTTTCAATACATCTATCGAACAAATTGAAAATGCTCGAATTCATATACCCGTAAACTTCAGTTCCAATATCACTAATAATACGATTATATCACTTCGAGTTTGTTTTCAATTATATTTTTTAATACATCTTTAACTTTGTTGTTGTTCTAGTCAATCATAGAACCACTTGCATCGGCTGATAAATCTCAATCAAATACAAATTTTTCAAGATCCATTTCATTATCTATTCTTGATCAATATAATCATGAACTTCCTATTCAAGCAACGGTTACTAATTTAATTGAATTGATAATTCCTCGAGATCCCAATCTAATCATACCACCAATGGTTTTAGAAAATGTCACTTCATTCAACGAATTTTCACATAATCAATTATTTCATTTGAAATATATCAATATTTCAAGTACATTTGCGATTTCAATACATTTTGAAATAGGTCCGTTGAATAAAAGACTTGCTTATTTATTTATTTATAAATTTGATCATTCACCCATATTAAATAGTTTAATCAATCAGATTGATGAATGGACTTTATTTTGTCCTTCAAATTTAACGAATGATAGTCTTTACACGTATTTTATTGATAATCAACGTACGATAGGTCATCAATCCATAGTCTATGGTTTACGAGAACTAAATTTAACTGAAATAGAATACTTTTGTTCCAATCAATCTATCACAAATCCACCGATTACAGATGAACGATTTCATTTTACATCAAATTATGAAATTCGTATCTATACATCAGGTTGTTATTATTTAGATTCGAATAATACTTGGCAATCAGATGGATTATTAGTAAGTGAATCTTTTTGTTCTATTACAATGTATATATTTCATATATAATGAAGGTCGGACCATTGACTAATCATCGTCAAACACAATGTTATTCAACTCATTTAACAACATTTACTTCTGGTTTTTTTGTTTTACCGAAATATCTCGATTGGAATGACAAGTATTCTAAATATGTTTGTGTACCTGTTCAATATGATTGTGCTATGGAAAATTCGAATGCAACTATTGAGAATTTGTCTCATCATAAACATGGATTATTTAACTGATATAAACTTGGGATTTTTTGCTTCACGTAACTTATCATTACTTTATCTCTATGTAGTTTTATTGTGGTTGATCTCAATCAAGCAAAGCCAGAATTAAAAAGACAAATCAATTTAACTAGTTACTATAAAAAGTTCTATGAAAGAATTTGTTCTGTTAATGAATACATTAAATATATGTAGTGTGTGGGGTGTGAGTTTTAGGTGCTCGTTTAAATACAACAGATATCACCCACAGTCACACCCTACTAAGTTACATTCATACAAGTATAAATTAAAGAACAAATAGAGAGTCGATGAAGTAATACTTGGCATTCTATCACTAAGTGTAAGCTTTTACTTTGTCCTAGTAACTAAGTATAGCTAGGACTGATGGAGTTCATTCCGTTTACTAGTAGTAACAATTGGTCATTAATATAAACTTATATTTGAAATGACATATAGGATAATACAATTTAAACTATTTGGTAACAACAGAGCACTAATATTCTATTATGTTGAAGAAAAAAATGAAAAGCAGTCATTGACGATATTTGTATAGTATTCGTTCATTAATTTGTTCAATTCTTGTGAGACCGCAACTAGCCATATCATACATCAATTCCTGTTTTAATAAATTAAGTACGGCTTCCACACCGTTATGGCCTCCGCATGTCAAACCATACAAAATAGGACGGCCAACAAGAACACCTTTAGCACCCAAAGCTAAACATTTCAAAACATCTGTTCCAGTTCGTATACCACCATCAACAAACACTTCACAACGACCATTAACGAATTCTACGATATCTTTCAAACATTCAATAGCCGATAGTCCAGTATCCACCTGGCGACCACCATGATTACTGTCAAGAAATGATATCATAGTTTAAAGGCCAAAATCAAACTTGGACTTACCTGACCACAATTCCATCGGCACCATATTCTAAAGCTAATTTTGCATCGTCTATAGATAAAATACCTTTACAAACTAGAGGTAATTTTGTTAACTTTCTTAACCATTGAAATTCCTTCCATGTTAACTTTGCATTTGGTGTATGTTCATCTAATCTCGGATGAGTCTTCAATCTTGCAACATTAGTATTAGGCGTGCACAATATTTCTGTCAATGCCTTATCTTGCTTACGTTCAATCGCTTAAATAAATGGTGCTCTATGAACTGATTGAACTCGTTCATGTGGGTGATCACATGTAACAACAATTGCTTTGAATGACTGTTGTTCAGCGGATAATATGCATTGTTCAAGTAATGCTTTTGGAGATGATAAATAAACATGTAGCCATTTAGGACCTAATGCAATAAAACAAAATAACTTATAAGTCAGCGTATACATTTGAAGCAAGAATCAACTGAAACTACTTAACTAGAAGCAATACAGATAGGTTTACTTTAACAGGTGATATCAAGGTTTTTTATGGATAGTCTAATCATAATGGGACAGCACGATCAACTTGTGCAACACGATTGCATATGGGTGCTGAAAAATAGAGTAACGAAAGTGAATCCGATAGGCCTTGTCAGCCCCAAAAAGACACATGACAAACAGAATAGAAAAACTTTTCTAGTGTCCGAAAGCACAAGGAAATATTTGAACTGTAAATAATGTACTGTCAAGGATCGTATGGTTGGTACTGGGAGAGTTTTCGTTGTTGAGTGAAACAAAGTCTGGGGTATAGCTGTGGCTGTGTCACTTCTGTTCACCCACCCACACTTATACCCTACATCCCAGAAACAGAGAGCAAGCGTAAATGATATCTCAATATTTACAAATAAATTAAGTTTCAAAACAATTCCTCGTACACTCAGATTCATAGGAAATGTTCGTCTCTAAGATGTGCGATTTACTGCAGATTCGATTATTCATGTACAGAGAGAAAGTAATTTTGTGCAACCCATTTTATTATTACGAAGTTTAACTCTGCAGAAATGAGTAGCTCTTATTCTGAAGGTTAACTTACTAGAGAACAAGAGACTAATAGTATACGATAGAAAATCAATTGACAATTAGTCTTTATTTATAATTAAACATAAAACATCAGATCAATTGTAATTGTTCTCAAAATATGATCGATTCAGATCTAACAATTTTTCAAACATTTCTTGTCTTCGATAAGTCTTTTAGCTGTTGTCACATTTTCATGAGCAGTCTTCTTTATGTTTGAGCTCACCTTTTGTCTTAAGTACATCGTTTACTGATACAGTCGATAAAGTCCAATTACATATATAAATTGATTCAGCATTTGTTGCACCTTGTGCCGTACCCCATTCGCCGTCACAATGTGCTAGTCGATGAAATGCTGTTGGTGCTATGATTATTGGATTGTTATATATATGACTAAAGAGCAAGAGAGAGTAAGCGCACAATTTGTTGCGTCATTTTCAATTAAAAAAAATACATTCATACCCGAATATTGTTGTTTGTAATGATATTTCGCTCACATCAGTTAACACTTTTGGTATAATTTTCAGATGCCGATTAAAATATTCTCGAGAAGCTTGATATGTATAACCATAACCTGCTTGATAATGAAAATAATTGAAACGATGCGGTAATAATATTTCTTTAGCTAAGTTTTCAAAATCATCAAGGGAACGAGAATGATGACAAGAAAATCCACAATAATTGACAAGTAGCACATACTCTTTTATTTTGTTCGAATCGTTTCCTTCTGTAATATTTGATGATCAAGTACAGACCGGCGGCACCAATCGTTAGTAAATAAATCTTATCCGCTATGTAAAAATCAAAATAAAAAATGTCGAAGCAGTGTGAATGAGCGTGATACTAGTTTTCCTAATATAATTAGAAAAAAACAAGTAAATTGAGAACGATTAACTGATGAGCAGCGCTTAAATCTCTCTCCTTGTTTGCGGTTGGCATATTCAAAATAGGTACAGCAATACTGCGAATATACTAACCTTTGCTTAATATTGCAGGCATGTCAAACTAAAAAGAAAAAGACGAGTTATTCTAGAGTTATAAATGAACTGTATAAAAATGCAGACAATATTCCATAATTTTATCTCATAACCAGTAAACATAGAAACGTTATATTAAAGCTGCAGCAAAATAGAAGGCTCACTCGGAAAGCCATTTTTTAACATTCAAGCTACTGTGAAAGATGAGAATTTCCGTATGGCTTGTGCAATAAATTTTTTGTTTAAGTTTTTTTTTCTAATTTATTAGAAAATATTGCTTTTGCATATTAACCCTGTATGTGGTATAGATAGAATATTCAGTGCTTGTTGTGAACGTTTAGTTTTGAATTGATAATCTACATTAGAGAAAGTTACAAATATTCTGTTAAATTTTTCTTTTAAACATTTTAGAAAATTCCACTATATATTCACCGCTAACATTTTTATTTGTCACCAAGTATTTTTATAAATGACGTGTATCTATATTGCTCTTCACAAAAAGATAGAATTTTAGTCAGAAGTTTCTCATAGTGTTATAGATCTTGTCTTTCGAAATATGTAGTGAGATGAGCCGAATGGTCCATACTTGAGGAATATCTCGGCGTCATTCTTATTTTTGTCAGGGAGAAAATTTAACATATCGAAAAGTTTCTAAGCGCTGCAAGCCGTGAACAGTACGTTGGAGAATATCTGTTATGATCTATAGAGTGGACCCAATGATTTCTTTTGTTTTATCCTCATATAATTCAATCATGATGAAAACCCATCGATAGCTGGACGCTTACCTCACTCTACTTGTTTGACGCAAAACCAGTGATCCAGTCGTTTGAGTCTCTAGTAAAAATGATGAAATTATCTAACAATGGAGATCTTTGTATTGTCAGCTAATATAATTAGGTATATTCGGGTCAGCTTAAATGTCTTACTGTAAAACTAAAAATTGCAAAATATAAGCCACGGATGGCGTTCACTATGGCACAGTTTCAGCAGAACTTATTGTTTCTTTTTTTGTAATGACACGATAGAACTCATCAAGTGGCATATGAGAATGCATGTTTCATTCATGAAATAAATAAACAAAACTATCTGATTTGTTAAAATAAATTTTTCGATTTTGAAACACATATTCTCTTATGTCACTCGGCGAATTCTATCTAATCATTACGAAAAAAGAAATAATAAGTTCTGCTGAAATTGTACCATTGTGAATGCTATCAGCAGCTCATATTTTTAAATGTCAAGTTTTACAATAATACATTTAATCTGACCCGAATATGTCTACTATTATTAACGGACATCTCAAACGCCTTCGCTGCAAGTAATTCTCTTGCTTCACATTAAATATCAACGTGTAATCGTCCATAATACACCATAGAGAACTATTCAAATGCACGAAGCATTTCTCCTTATCTTGGACAAAAGAATTGACGTGATTTCTTCACCTTTCTAACACATTTTGCTCTTAGCGCATTTCTTATCTCAAAGTTAAACGAAAAAAGTTCACATGTGGCCCGAGAATATAGATTTTATATAAAAATATTGTATTATTTTACATGAAAGGGTTTTTTTCGTCAATGAAAACTCGTTTTATCTTAGAATAATTGGTGACATTGTATTGTTCATGAAAGAGCAATGATGCTGTGTAATATGAATTGCATTTCACAGAGTTTCATCAATTTAGACGCGTATGTTATGCCTTAAAATAAATTAAATTATCTATGAAAGCATCTGCCTATTGGAGCATAGGAAAAGATATTGCTTTAGTTGCCGGTTCCCGGTGTTCTAAGACGTATGTGATATGAATGATAAGGACACCTGTTTCTTTCTTGAAATTATGAATTGTTCTTTTGGGTTCACCGAGGTGGAATTTCTTCATGGGAGATTTTCTAACGGTTCATCAAGTTCATTCTTTCGAATCATAAATGGATCGGACTCTTTCTTCTACATAATAATACATCATCTGTACACAATCACACCAGTTGAACCCACCAAAAACTCTCGCCTCATCTTACCTCTTCATCATACATAGATATGCCATAGACGATCGCGATGAATACCACTAGATGACATATAGTTCAACTTTGGAGTCAAACAATATGAAACTAAATTATAAAACGAGTAATCATTCTTCTAAGCCGTAGTGTTGGGATTATTCGATATTTTTCTTAGTAGACAATAAAAAAAATTATTACAGATATTAAACATGATGGTTAACATTTTTTTTTCGCGAGAGATAATTAAATTCGATTGATATTTTTCTCAGATGAAAAATACACATAAGAATAATACATTTACAAATAGATTAAAAATTAGAATCATATATATAATTTAAAAAGATCATATTTTATCATATCATTATCAATCAATTTTTTTGGTCGAATTATCGTCTTAAATCTGTCAAATTGGTTGATATGTCTGTTTGAAACACACAATAACGACAGCGTACAAGTCTTCTCATTACTTTTCGATAAGAAGAATTGGATGAGTGATTCAAAATCACACGTTTCAATACTACTTCCTAGATACTGTAGTTGCGTACACAGACTAAGAAAAATATCGATTTTTTTCAATGTACATTGACCTGTAATGATGACATTCTTAATAGAATTACTATTGGATACTGATCGAAAATTTTCACTTTGTCGTATGGATTCAGAATACTCTCCGCTAATAATGAAAGATTTGATAGTTAAGAAATTGATGTTTGGTGCATCATATAATAGTTGACATAGTCTATGAAAAAATAACCGAACAGAATTCATAACTATTTTAGTTAGTTGTTGTGGTGGAAGAATATGATTGAGAACAGTTGTAAATGATCGTGCATTGATATTAAGATAGAATAATAAACACAATGATTGATTGTATTTACATCATTTATATAAACATGACGAACCGATTTAAGATTTGTTTTTTGATCAGATGAGTGAGTCACATTATTTATATTTTCCAGTACTCTGTAATATTTTCTTCTGTGAGAAAAATAAATTATCAGAATATATCGTATTAACATAAAGCAAATTATTTATATCTCTATGGATTTATAGAATAGAAGATTCCACGTGTTGGATTAGAATTGAAACTCCATTGATACTCGAAGAACCATTGTTTTTCGAAATATGTAAAACTGGAGTTTGATGAAAAAATTTTCCATCAACATTTCCAATTGATCAAAACATATCACATCAAAGAAGAAAGATACATGTGTCAGATTATTCAATGAAATTTTGTTCGTTCATGTTAATAATTTTGTAATTCCGTTTATACATTCACATGATACACGACAAAGTTGAGGAACATACGATAAGATAAAATTCAGATCATCGATTTCAACTGAATGTAAGATGACAAGATGTTCCATAGGACTGTAGACATTCGTTGCCAAAATTAATTTTTTCTTGCTAAATTTTGGATAAAATGTAAATTTGCAATATTTCAATACAGGTAAATGAATTATATGTAAGAAGAGATCATCCAAAAGACTAGAGAGATTTATAGTTGTAATGGATAATGACGAAAGGTAAGAAAAAGAAGTAAAACAAATTGCGAAGATTTAGAATAGATTGTGATTCAACATTATCAAGAATAAGTATTTCAAGTTAAGAAAATTTTGATAGAATATTGGATGATGATAAAATAATATCAACTGCAACAAGATTTGATACATGTCAATCAGAAGAATGTATTGATAATAGTGCTCAAAGGTTGATTTGGACATCGATGAAACATTAATTTTGGTAGGCAGATTCGAACAAAGAAGATTTTGAAATCGTTCATTCAGATTCAAAAAAACATTACATAAATTTAAAAAAATCAAGAAAATCAAATACTTCACAGAAAACTTCATTCAACATGTCTTCAAAATGAGTTATCGAATTGATGTGACTGTGAAGCTTTTTTCTTTTGCTGTTGCCAGTATGATCTACAGCATTTCTTCGGTATCGTTTTCTTTGTTTCATATCAGTTTAATTTAAACTATTTTACTAGACAATATAATAGTCATAAACAACACTGCTCTAACACTCTGTGAAAGAGAAACATGCTCACTTATAAATAGGAGCGGTGTAATATATTTTCGATGTAAATGAATCCCATGAAAGGAAGCAAAACTTCATTCTGAAAAATAGGTTGTGTGGGTGATTACAGGATGATGGTGCAATAACTAGAGGCATCACAATCGCATGATGAACAAATATTATTCGACTCAATTTCAATATTATTTTATTATTTGTCTTCGCTCAAAAGAAAATTTACTTTCGGTTTTGATTATGATCAAATATGAATAGACTGAGAACTTTTTTTTGCCGTAAAGTTTCATCTCCTCATCGGTTCAGTGTTATAATTCAATTGAATAAGATTGTTAACCTTGAATTTTGAAAATTTGAAACTGATCCAAAATTTTCGTTATTATTCGAATTATGTCAAAAACAAAAGTATTACATATAAATACAAATCAGTTTCAGAAATAAAATGATTTTTTCTATCGAGCGAATCAAATTGAAAAAATGCACTCATTATTAGTGGCGGAATCAGGATTTCGGTCTACGAGAAGCTGAGTTCCATATGCATTGCCTATAGTCTGCCTCTTTAGTGACGAAAGGGTGTGGGTGTGGGTGTTGCAGCAGAGAAGGCTCACACTATACACCCACACCCTACACACAGCCTCTTCATTATCGACTGCCTGCATTTTTGTTCTTTGTTGGGTGTTGATTTTGTTAACATACAGGAGAGATGTGACTTGAATAAAACGAAGAAATACGTAGAATTCTATTGAAAGTTGTTCACACTATAGTGTACGAAGTGCATTAAATTATTTAGTGAATCAATATACTATAAAAGTTTGTCTTGAAACTCAATGAAACAATTACAAAAACTTCCATGAATCCTGACGGATTTTTTTGATAATCTTAATCATGACGATTGTTGTTACTTTTTTGCCGTTCTTTCCTTCGTTCTCCTGTAATAATTTTGTTTTGTATTAGAAACGTATCGTTGCTCACTACGTGGAATCCGTAGTGCAGA